TGCAGGGGATACAGGAATACACAGGAGGCACTTGGCGCTTAAGAAAAGGTCTGATCCTTGGAGACAAAGACTTGGAAATAATCAGCATGTGAACAATAGCTGAAGCCACAGAAAACGGACTGTTCTCATCCAGGGTAAATGTGCAGAATATAAATACGTAACGAGAGTGATACTAATGAACTCTGGGCAGCACACACACACACAGTAGAAGTTTAAAAGGCTCTAAGATTTTTTTTTTTAAAAAGGGGGAGCCATGAAAGCCAAGGAAGAACAGAATTTTGAAAAAGGAGGTGTAATATCAAGTGTTTAAAGAGAGTAAGAAGTAGAATGAAGACGAAGATGAGGAGATTGATTTTGGCCAGTGGGGCTGATGACCTCAGAAGAGCAGATGGCGTTAGACTGAAAAGTGATGGAGTATTGGCACATGAACAGATGAACGGATCAATGAAAGAGGACAAAATTGACCGGAAGGTGAGGGAAGCTGTAAATTCAGATCAGTGCCCTAAAGGGTCTAGCAGTAAAGGAAAGAGGTGGGCAAGACGATGGTTCAGAAAGCGCGAAAGCCGAGGACGAGGAATTTCAGGACAGGAGTGACTGAAATACGGGAAGATGGAGGGAAAAGAACAGGAGAGGAGGGGGCCCTAAGAGAGGCCAGATAACTGATTTAAAAAACAAAACTCAAGTCGTAGGCAAGGAAGGAAGAGAACTGAAGGACGTAAGTCAACGGTTTAGCCTTGGCGTTAAGGAGTGGAGTCTTCCTTTGAACAGAAGGGGAGGAGGTGGGAGCAGCACGGAGAGAGGGTGCTGAGGCAGCGTGTCTGATGGCCATACAGGGAGGGGAGGCCAGGCAGGAGCAGGCGGGAAGAGGGTGGTGTGGTAAGTGTGTTCAGGGTTTTGATCAGCTCCTGCCCCCTGCCCGGGACGATGAAGGAATGATATGAGAGATCAGTAAAGAATAATCGAACCATCCCAAGGCCCCAGCAGAGGATGCAACCCCTACCCTTGTCATGAGCAGAACACAGACTATGCGGGTCCTCCCGAGGGAGGGCGCTCGAGAGGAAGGAGTAGATACCCTGAAGTGCTGGGGAGAGATGCGCTGCAGTAACTAGGAAAGAACTGAAGGGAATACGGGGAAGTGAAGGCTGGAGCGGGTGGGGCTCCGGGGGGAGGAGCGGGTGGGACTCCGGGGGGAGGAGCGAGGGGAAGCAGGGCGGAAGGCTGAAGGGCAGGTTTTGTGAGGATGGAGGGGAGTGAGGACATGCTGGTAAGAGGATCGGACCTCAGGGGTCTCTTTCTTTTCTTTTCTTTTTTTTTTTTTTTTTTTTTGGTAAGGGGAGAGATAATTAGGCTTTTTAGTTTATTTACTTACTTTTAGAGGAGGTGCTGGGGATTGAACCCAGGACCTCGTGCATGAAGAGCATGCGCTCTACCACTGAGCTACACCCTCCCCCCTTCAGGGGTCTCTTCCGGATCAATTTCCAATGCTAACCTGATCCTCTCCAGAACAATCTGGAAACCAAAAGCCTCTAAACCAACCTTTTTTTTTTTCAGTTGAGAAACAACTTTATCGAGATAAAATTCACATCTACATTTCCAAACCGTTCTATCATTTGTGGCTATTTCTACCATTATAATTGAAAAAACATTGCGGAAAACACTTACGTGCTTCTCACTGTCCACATTTTTAGGGATTCCTACAGCTGAAGTGACTGAATTACAATATATGAACACAATGCTCGTGGACCATATTATCAAGAGAAAGACACTATTTGAGCCATCCAGACTTTTCCCTCTATAAACTTTTAAATAAAAACAAGACAGCAGGATACACGGTATTTTGTAACACGTTCTTTTAACGTAGTCTTTGAAAACAGCTTTCTACGTCAGTACGTTTTTATCTACCCTATCTTTTAAAATGACTGTCTAGCAATCCATTTGGTGACATTATCACTTATTTAACCAACTTCTTTCTATTAAACATTTAGATTATTTCTTTTTCGTTATAGAGAGGCTGCTGCGCTAAACGTTTCGTAACATGTCTTTGCGCAAGTGTCTATCTCCTCGTGAAAGAATTTACGTCAGTGAAACTGCTGGGGTAGAGAGTATAGATATTTTTAAGGCCTTTGATATGTATACTTTGGACCAGACTCCAAACTCTAAAAGAAGTACACCAGTTGACACAACCCCTGTAGTACCAATGAGGTGACTCATTGCGTGAATATCATTGTTCTGAATAATCCTTGCCAATCTGATGGGGGAAACTGACAACTTGGTTTTAAATCTACATTATAAAAATAAGAACCAGTATTTTCCATGCATGTACAGGCCATTTGCATATATGTTTCTGTGTGAAATTTCTCTTTATATTCTTTCTCTGTCCATTTCTTTTTTAACCTAGGAGGTTCACGTTCGTGTGTCTTTGGTAACATCTAGTTATATATTAAAGAGATCGTAATCCTTTTGGGTGTACAGATATTAGAACTATTTTTCCCTCGGTCTGTCTTTTCATTCTATTTTCCTGATGGATTAATAAGGCTTTTCATGTGTTCAAAATCGATCAATCTTCTCCTTTCGTGGGAGAAGCAGACCGGAAAACAGGATTTCTTAAGGAGGAAAAACTGCCTTTCATTTTCCAAAGCTGTTTTCTTTGCTGTGCCTGCTTACTGACCGCAATTGAAAACACGGTCTGAATCAAAACAATTGTTTCTGAATGAGAGATTATTAACTCAGACCATGTGAACATTTAAGGGATTATAAAATGCCTTTTTATTTTAATACTATCTTGGTACCACTTACCTTAAGAATGCCTCTAGTAAGAATACGAGAACTTTACCTGTTCTCAAAAGAATGTCATTAAATGATGAAAACGGAAAACATAACGTACACGCATCCTTGCAAATTTGGAGTGTGTCAAATTAATGAGAGGAATGCGTAAAAAAGTTCTGGAAAAATCTTCAGATTTCCAGAGAACCAGGGCCTGCCACGCAGATGAGGGGCACCAGATAAAGGAGGGTGGTCTGCCAAACACACGCGAGAAGGAAGACGATACTTACTATTCCAGGACCAGGATCATTTCTGACGGAGTCTCATACACTTCATGCAAGTTAATGACCCAGGGGTTGTCCTGCGCCAGTTCCAGGACGGCAATTTCATGAATTATTTCCATCCGACAGTCTTGGCCTTTTCTTCTCTTCCTCATGAACTTTGCGGCAAATTCTTTTCCAGAATCTTTCTTTATACATTTTCTCACCACTGCAAATTTCCCCCTAGAAATAAACGGAAAAACATTCACTGTTAAAGTGGACAGCTTTTCAGAGATGGTACATTTTAATGAAATTTCCAAATAGTCATCAGTGGAGATTCAAAATTTAGGTCATGTTCAATCATAAAAGTAGCAATATGGCCTGGGAAGTACACCTAAAATCAAATAAAAGGTGCAAGATTCATTCTCCCAAATAGAGAATAACCACGTATTAAAGTCAGTATTTTTGCAGAGTTATAGATAAAAATAACTTAATTTTTTGCACATGCATACATAAAAATGATTTAAATCTTAAAAAGCCATTTGACTTAAGAGAAAATGGTTATCAAAATTCCTAAAATAATGAATTTCACTGTCACTAATTGACTCTCAATGATCAGAGGACATTATCACCTTCCAAAATGATAAAAGTGAGGGACCTCATCTACACAACACCATTTCAACTACAGCGTCAGACGGAAATGTCTACTTTCCCTATACAGACAGATAAACAAGCGTTATTTTGATACACCACACTACCGTTTGTCATTGTCACTATACTAATAACCAGGTCACACAGGGGACCAGGAGAGCATACTGATTAAGGGATAAGGCCTGGAATTAGACAGATGCGGGCTTGAACCCCACAAATGGCTCTGCCCACTCACTTGACACATAACCTAGGGCAATTTATTTAACCTCTTATATTAAGAAAAATCTCATTTGCTTCTCTGTACAAGAAGACACAGATGGAATCTGTTTCACAGGGTTGCCGTGAGAACCAAAGAATATAATACATGTCAATTGCTTAGCACGGTTCTTGCCACATAGTAAGTACTCGATAAAATATTAATTGAACCAATCATTCCGTTGTAACAATCATCACCCATAAATACCCAATACTCAAGTTGGAAGGCAACTTGCATCACATAGGTTTTTTAACTCATGCCAAAGCCAACGTCTTCTTTCAAACTGGTCTCTTCCACTCCCGGGTGTGTATTGGTTTAATAAGGCTATCATCCCAAGCCTAAACCTGGCTTCAAGTGAAGTCGCTGTAGTCTGGGTCTTCTCCTGAGCAGGACAGGAGGACCCACACGACAAGTCCATCTATCAGGTACGGAGCACAGCTAACAAGATCTGTTCACTGCTGCTGCCTTTTCCAGTTTTCATTCCTCATCTCCTTGAGGTTTTTGAATCTCCTCGCTACTAACAGCTCATAGGACGGCTGGTAAAATGTGCCAACCAAATCGGAAGCAACTGCTCCATGTACAATCTGATCAAAGCGCTACATGATTATTATTTTGCTGATCTTGGCACAATACAACTTAATATGACTTAAAAAAAAACTTGACAGGTTTTCCATATTCCATAAATAAAAGAAACCACCTAGGTCTTTTTCCTCTGAAATTTGTTTTTTCAAGCCAGTGTCCTCATACTATATTTTAAACATATGTTTAAAAAAATTCAATGCAAGGCTCTAATTTGCTCTGTTAAATTCTACTTTCTAGGCTTTCACCCGGCATTCTAGACCACTGACGTAATTTTAAGCACTAATTCTTCCTTCCTCGTTACCGTCAACCACAAATATGATTTTCATGCCCTCTACATTTTTGTTACCATCAGCAACAAAAACGTTACAGGAGAAATCTTCAGGCACCGTCCTGTACCTGTTCAATTAGGTGGCAATTCACCTAGCAGCACCCTTACTCAGAACAAGGTGCTTTGTGTTCAACAGAAATGTGAAAAGACTTCTACAGATCACTAGCGAGATTAAACACTAAACTGTGCATCACAGGTTATACCTCCTTTTATTTCACCCTCCAAAAATCACTAGGCTAATATCACCAGTGAGTTTTAAAAGGTTCCCAGTGATCTCTGTATTCTTTTAAGAAAGAGAAAAAAAATCATTAATAATTTGATTTTTTTTTATATCTATATGCCTGAAGTTTCCAGAGAAATAATTTGTCAAAAACTGACCAACATGTAATTGACGACAAGCATGTTCCTGTTAAATCAGCAATGACTAAGCTGAACCGCCCTCAGGGGGCTCCCACATCAAACACACAGACGTTTACTGTCACCACACCTAAGATTCAAGGCCACACAGTTCTGTGCGGTTAGTAAAATACTGCTTCTTACGTATCTGGCTGGAAGGTGTATTTCTGAAGACCCGAGAGGAAGACCAGTGACTCCCCAGAGAAATGGATCGTACGCATCGTTAACCTACAAACTCCGGGTTACAGGAGAGCCACTGTTAAATGCAGGGGCCAGAGGCAAACGCAGGGAGGAGACCTACACTTACTCGATGTCCGAAGCCAGGCATCTGTTTCTCTGGATCCCCAGAGCAGTTCCCACGGCTGTTCTCCCACACCAGTCACTACTCCTGACACCACCTTTGTCTTAGAGGACGAGCTCCTCGCAGTAGTGGGGCTACTGTTTCCTTTGCCCCCACAGCGCACACTTTGCCGGGAGTCAGCAGACTTCTCCGGGAAGGGCCAGGTAGCAAGTGTCTTTGGCTTTGCATGCCAGACTGTCTCCATCACCACTACTCAAGTCTGCTGTCGGAGAGTGCGAGCAGTTGGAGACAACAGGTAAAAATGGATGGGTGTGGCCGGGTCTCCAAAAAAACCCCAAAAAACCAACAACCTGGTGAATGCTGAAATTAGAATTTCGCATGCAGTTTCCATGTCATGAAATATGATTCTTCTTTTGAATTTTGCAATCGTTTAAAAACGCAAAGGTCACTTTATTCAGCTAGTGAGCCTGACAAAACCCCAGGCAGCCTGCGGTAGGCTGCCAATCTGCCCTGCACCCGCAGAAGGAAACTTCCATCATGCTGATACTGATGCTGCTGAAACTGCCAGCTGGGCCGCGGGCCGCGGGGCTGGGGGAGCCCGGCAGCGCCTTCCTCTCCAAATGACTGGTGCGATGGGTGGGGAAGCCCTCCGACTCCTCAAGGAGTCAGGGGGAGATAGAATGAGACTTCTGGGAACCACTCTGTCTAAAGTAGAGCCACACAGGACACAGAAATGGGAGCCTCAGCCTTCAGGGGATGGAGTCCCAGGGAGAGCGGTGCCCCCGAAGCCCACACCCACAAGGGGTCTGATGCGCATGCTTTCCTGCAACTGCACAGTGAAAACCGTGACTGTGTCTCACCCTTAACTTCAGATTACTGAGGCCTCTCCAGGGCATGGAATTAACGGCGTTTCTCTGACACCACGGCCCCAGTTCCACGCAGACTTGACATTGATGAAGTTCAATGGGCAGAAGATGTCTGCTGCACATCCACTTTCTTTGTCGACGTGGTCCAGATTCTTCCCAGATTACAGTTGTTAGTTTTCGGAGCGCTTCACTCATTTCACAAACATCTAGTTTAGACTGTTACACATGAAACTAGAAACTCAGGTTTTTTTGTTAAACGTTTTTTGGGGGAAGGGATATCAGAAATGAATACATCTCAGAACTCCTCGATGATAACAAATTCCAGGTGAGAAAGGAAGGACACACGAATGATGACAACAGCAGGAAGTGACATCTGAGTTAGAACCACTGGTCCAGGCTCCCTAGAAGCATGGCTGGGATTTTTCCAGTGTCTGACTGGTAATGCTTAGGGGGGCATGGTGAGCATCTTTAGGTAGGGATGACAGGCTAAGGGTGACAACGGGCGCCTGTGAGAATTTTTAAAATAAGGTAATTGTTTCAAAAAGGTAATTCTTACAGTGTTGTGAGGAGTGTGTTGCCAAGCGTTAACCAGAAACTAGGGAAGGCAACAAAATAATTCACGGTAAGGGTCTGAACTACAGTAGAAGCAGCACGGGCTGGGAAGAGGGAATGCACATCTAAGTCATTCAAGGTCAAGACCCAGAAACACTTCCTGCCAGACTGCGATGCAGGCAGAGATGAGGGCAGAAGGGAAAGGTGGACCTAGAAGCCGACTTGGAGATTTTTAATCTGGGTACTGGGTAAACGTGGGTCAAAACCACCCGCTGAGAGAATCATTTTAAGAACAATAACGGGTTTGCAGGGGTAGGGGTGCGCGGGGCTGCTTCTATTGTAGTTCAGACCCTTACCGTGAATTATTTTGTTGGCTTGCCTAGTAGGCTTTGGATGGGAGAAGTTTTAGGTGTCTTTCTCTGTAAAGAGAAATTTTTTTTTTTAACTAGATGGATTCCAAACACAAGTTTCAGTCCTGGGTTACACACAAAGGTGAACAGATAATGGAATATAGAGGGTTCAGGAAAAGATAAAAAAAAATGTAGATGCTAATTTGAGTGGCATATAGAGGAAGCAAAAGAAAGGGGAGCTCCGAGGTTCCAGGTTTGATTCCGGACGACCATACAGTGCTTTGTTCCCACCTGTATGTACTCTGTTACTGAAGCTGGCTTGACATGTCACCATTCACTCTGCACGATGATGTCTCCCAGGGGAACTATGAGTCCCAGGGACCTCGCCTCTCATCCCTTCGCGTGACACAGTGCCCCGCACATGGTAGGTGCCCAGACATGACCTCGGACAGCACCCTGAATACATACACTCTTGTTATTCCGTTAAATAAAAGTTCATGGCAACTTAACCTCATAAAATTTAACATTTTAGCCACATGGAACTACATGCCATTCTCTCTTTTGTTGGACCCTTCTGCTACTTGTTTCACTGCCAGCGGCTGGGGCATCTTCCATCACTACTACTGAAATCCCATTCATTCTTTAAGGCTCAGCTCAAGTGTTGTTTTCCCTGTGAGATGTCCCCATGTGGCCTGTCACTTTGCCTGTAAAGGCAGTAGTGACTGATTTGTTAGATTTGGGAATAATTTCCAGAGCCTACCAGAAAGCCTTCCGTGCTCAAAATGTACGTACAATACTTGCAAAGAAGCTTCATTCAAGAAAGACCTAGACTAGATCTGTCTTCCTTACCTCTGGAAGGAAAACAACGAAAACATAAGTTATCTGTTGATTCGAAGTGTAAAAATCAGTGGCTCCATCAGATCAGACATCAGCATGAGTGACAAGAACAGGCAGGGCTCTGAAAGTCAGACTCTGGGGGTGG